TTGCATATATTTTATATTTTGATATTTCAAATGGGTTCAGACACACCAGCTTGCATGTAATTTTACTTGGAGCATTTTTAAAACAAGTAAAGTAGATTTTTGATTTTATATGTGAAAGGCTTTTGAAGCTTCTTGTCATGGAAAATACAGAATAATTAGTTGCACATTATTAATCATATTTCAAACAGAGCTTTTACAAATTAACCGTGTTATTTCTATTAAAATGGATTGATTTAACCACTTTAACAGTATTCTTATAATGTAGATTACTTTATATGGATTTCAATGTTGAGACAACTGATTCAAAATGTATTGAATGTTTTTATGTTAGCAAGTAAAATCTTAAAATAATATTTCTGGTATATGTATTTTGATTGTTATAATCACATAAGCTTGATACACCAGTGTAGCTTTAAAATATAAACTGCTGATGAAATTATCAATACAACATAACTCATGAAACATCTTAAAAAATAAATATATTTATGTAGAATGATTACTATAATTATTACATGTTTATTCTCACTAATTATCATTAGTTATATAATTCATATTGTCTAAATTTGATTGAAAGAATTGAAATTAGTTTGAAAAGAATATTGCGTTTCTTTCATTAAACCTAAATTACATTCTTGCATTTTTGCTCAGGTATTTCTTTAGACAGTGGCTTATTTTGATACCAGAGAACAGAAAAAAAAACAATATTTTTCTAATCCTTATTAAGTTTCCTAGTTAAGCAAATCATGTGGCTGTGGAGTGTCTGCTCACTCGACACACAAGGAGTGTGACCTGGTGTTAATTGATATTTGTGCGACATGAATGATATGCAGCGTTGCTTGACTGTGAAATAGGTGGTGAGGGTGTGGACAGAGCGACTAACGTGAGCCCTTGCTGTGAACATGATCAATATTTAGTTATCAGTATTAAGCATGTGAAGGCAGTGTTGTTGTTGTTGTTGTTGTTGTTGTTGTTGTTGTGGGATAAACACAATTAAAGCTGCCTCCCTGCAATGTATAGACTACAGATTTGTTTACTTGCTTGTTTAATAGTTGAGACTGATAAAATCAGACTTCTCTCCTCCTAATTATCGCTCTACACCTTTGCCTTAACCTGGAGTGAAAACAGGCTCAAATAGTAAGTAAATAGTAAGTGATGAACTTGTTTTTCACTTCATTAGGCTGTATCACAATAAACACAAGTTGAACTGCTTGCATTTCGCAGCTTAATGTTGTTTGATGAAGCTACATTGATTACAAGACTTTTTTTTCTTACAAAAGGATACAAACCAAGACATGGGTGTAAACATCTGCATTGCACCACAGTGGTGCACATGCAGATGTGTGTGTTGGGTTGTCAGTGCACACTGAGTCAAAACAGCGAAATATGATAGCCATCAGTTGATCCACTCCGAATCCATTAATACTCCCCAGTTGATCCTGGGTGAAGGGGGAAGCTCTCCAATTCAGGCTCTGGTTTTGTCCAGAGTGATAGCAGGAGTCACTGCACTGCTCCCCTCTGAAGCCACATCCGCTGCACCTTCCTCCTGACTCCTCACGTCTCCCCTCACCTGCCTCCGACTAGGTACACAGGCATCTGTTTTGTGGAGCAGACGCCCAAAGCGTCTCTCAACTATGTTCATTTTCTGACTTAAAGAGCATTGTTGGCGTCTTTTTCACTTATGCTTGGTCCATCTCGGGCTTTTGAGTCATGGGGGGTGAAAAACGGAATATACTTCATGTTTTAGATCAATTTATCTTTGGCTGAACCCTTTAGGTGTAATGCAATGCTCGTGAGGTACGGAAAGCAATTGCAAAGGAGACAGTTCTTCATTAGCACTTCCAGATATAATGACTATTTATTTGTTGCGTATTAACTAAAGGGTTTTATTTTGAGTGTGTTGAAGCTAGTGCATTTAAATTCTGCAATGGTGCTAAATTTGTACAGCAATTATTCACTTTTTTCATGAAAGCAGAGTAGTGTATTTTTCTCCTGAAGTGATAACTGACTTGATAGTGCAACAGAGTACATAGCTTAAGGGAGCAGGGAGATTAGATGTGAGAGAATTGGAGATTCACTGTGTGTCTATCAGACCTGTGGGATCGCTGTTCAAGCTCACTGAGAGCTGGAAACACCTTTATTCTTTGCAGACACTCGTGTGTACATCGCAGCAGCAACTTCTTGGTAAGCTGTCATTCACATTCCACTTCAACCTGTTGCATGACTAATACGTGCAGCACAGGGCTCATTACAACCAGGAGTTAAGTAATCAGCTGGATGACTCGTGAGAGCAGCAGTGAGGAGGTGTGGCAAGGTGTGGTCGGGATGAGGAGGATTGCTCTGACTGGACGTCCCAAGTCTCACATTTTTTTGTAAATACCAAGTTACCGAAATATACTGGAGATAAGAGAAGTAAAACAGGAGCGCTCACTACTTGGAGACGGTTTCACCTCAAGGCAAGTGACAGAATTGGAGCGACAATTTGCTGATGTGTTTGGTCAGT